AGTCATTTTTCTGGATGCCGTGCAGTGCATGGTTAGATTCGTTCCCGCTATCCAGTATATAAGTCACCGTCTGCCACACCATGGCCCCGGAAAAAAGGTAGCACCGCGGTCGCCCATCCGGAACGATTTTATTACATCTTATATGTGTGCATTCATCTCGGGGCCATTACGCATCGAATGACGTAAGAAACACGCATTAAAAACCTTCCAAAAATTTACACAATTTTCAAACCTGGTTTATCTCTGATTCGCTGAATCATTTTTCCATTTTTCGCAATCGTTTTTTTATTTTGACGTCCTAGTGCAACGTTTCAACGTCAATTCAACGGCCCGGATGCGCTGGGGCATCGAGGAAGTTGATAAGAAGCGGCTTTACCCCAGCTTTTCTTCCCGCGCGTGTCTCGCTGATCGAAAAGCAGTATACCCACGGTTCCCAAGCGCTGCCCTGGTTTTCCGGTTCCGCAAAAATGTTTCTGCATTTTTCAGTATAAGAATCATTTTTGAAGGATGTACCGTGCATCCTACCTTAGATAAATTTCGTATGCTTTTGTGCGCATGTGTGAACTGCCCTTTAAACGCGCGTGTGTGGTAGGCGGAAGGAGTCCAAGATATCAAGCTGTCGGAAAGTCAAATTTCTCATGCAAAGGCTGCATTCCAGCGCTCAAAGTCCGTGAAGCGGGTGTTGGGCGCCGGTTTTTTTGTATAATTTGTTAACTTTTGGGCTTCAGAAAATTTTCTCGAACGCTTTCTGCGATAGAGTAAGATGTAGATTGTTTAGAGAAATGATTGCCAACGTTCTTGCCACTGCAGCGTTGCTTGTGACGAATAATAGTACGGAATTCCAATTACAAGACTCAGGATCGGTGGGCCACCAATGTTATTACTATATCAATCATGGTTCCGGTCAAACACTACCTCCAAACGTAAGAGGTCGTTTCTCCACGTAAACTTACAAAACGGCGGTCTATGTCGGCTACTCGGGGGTCAATCTTACGCGGAGGGGGGACGGAACAGACACACCTTTTTCGATATTTTCGTTATTATTTCCGGATTTTTGCAACAGCATTCGATAACGCATCGGCATGTATACTAGGAGTTTTTGTTTCAGCTCAAATTATGGTAAGATAAAAAAGTTAGGGCAAAAAGAATAAAAACTTTGAAAACCCAATTGAGCGGCCGTTTTTCGACATTCATGATATTTTTTCGACATTCTAAAGACGCGATTCGATAGAGCATCTGAAAATATACTAAGAATTTTTATTTTTCTTCAAAATAATATAGTATAAAATTACAAGAAAATCAAATATGAAACTTTTTTCCAATGAGGACATAGAGAGAACCCAAGTTTTTGACTTTTTCAATATTCTTTCAACATTTCTTTAGTGCCATTTCGATAGAGCATCGAAAAATATACCAAGAGAGTTGTTTGTTGCAAAAAGAAATGCAAAAAAGCGGGTCGGCCCCAAGAGCCCGTCCCCCCGCGTAAAATTGTCCCCCCCACCCCGCGTAGCCGACATATACCCAAAACGGGATATACTAAACGCTTTAAACACAGAATTACAATTAAAAAAATCGATTTTAGCGGGTGACGACAGGCTGTGCCTACACGGATTACTGTATGAAATTTGTGTCGAAGGTAAGTATTTCTCCAATTCAGGTCCAATTTCTTTCCAGAAGCTTGTTTTCTGGAGCTGCCCCATTCAGAAGAACATTTGTAAAGTATGTTCTTACATTTGATAGCGCCCAAATTATGGCACTTATCTTTAACCCAAATATTCGGGGTTTTCCAGAATAAACGCTCTTTCAAAGTGATGACCTACGACCCGGAGGATATAAAAAATGTGGCGACAGGCGAGGGTTATTGCTGCTTGGGGAATCGGTGCAACTCGGCCGGAAATATTACACGAATAGTTGCCTTTATATCGATTTTTATCTCAGCCTTCGGGGGTTTACGCGAATAAACGGTTTATATCGTACGGTTAATCGAATACGGCCAGGAAAAAAGACGTACGACGGACCCTGAACTTTCATTGAAGCCGTTGTAAAGCAAAATATCAACGTGCATTCCGCGCGAGCCCGGTTTAGCCGCAGAAACATCCCTGCAACCAGACATAGCCATGGTCGGAAAAATGCTTTCATAAATTGTTTCGAAACGAGGTTATGCCTTCCTACATGGACCGATTGAAACCCTTCTCTCTGTCGGCTGAAGAATACCGACGCTTACGAGGGAAGTGCACGAACCTAAGGAAGCATTTCTTTTGCAAAATAAGTGGGTCCGATAGACTCGAACACGGGGATTCCGAATCTGTAATCAAAATTTGCTGAACGAAACGGAGAGATTTCCTCTGAACCTATCCTTTCCCTTAGGCAATGTTCGTCCAAATATTTGCCCCCCACCCTTTGTTCTGCGAGGAATAAATAAAGTATACAAGGTAATATCCTACTATATATAAAAAAAATAGTGTTTGTGTGTGTGTGTGTGTGTGTGTGTGCCACTTTGCATCCACTTCCGTCTGTCTGTCCAGGGGATATCTCAAGAAGGGACGGGTATTAGGCTACGTATGATACGTCATTAGGTGCGTAATGGTCTAGGGATCACTGCACACATATCAGATTTTCAAAAATTAGCCATTTTCGCTATTAAATTTAGGTTTTTGTAAAAACCTCTTTGTTGGGAATAATTAGCATTGACCGGAAGTGGGCGGTCGTCTATATAAAGAGGCAGAAAGGGTGGTTTTTCATTTTTTTTGTCTTCTGAATGGAGGACAATTATGCAAAGGGTAGAATAGTATGGGGTCCGAGACGGCGCCAGGGTTGAAAAGTCGCGAAGCGGCTTTTCAACCCTGGTATTCTACTGATATCGTTCGAACATTCTGTGAATATTTTTTTGCCCAGTCACATTTCGTCGAAATTTCAGTTATATTAACCGTCCAAAATTGTCGATCCACGCTGGCCAGATGCGATAAGAGCTGCTTCAAGTCATCACAAAGAAAAAGCGATAGCGTAACGGGTCCAGAACCTAGCAAGCTGCCGTTGCGAAAGTTCCATTTTTACCGCTCCGGCAAAAAGGCGTGTTTGACTCGTACGTTTGGCCACTTTTCTTACTACTTTTGTTACAAAATCCAGTACATGTAGCCTACGGGGTCAAAAAAATCAGGTTTTTTTAGACAAATAAACCTTTTTCGATATTTTCGTTATGTTGTCGTTATTTTTTGCAACGCCATGATAGAGCGCCCAAAAAGCTGCTGAGAGTTTTAATTTTAATTAAAAACAGAGTAGTGCGAAACAGTGGTGAAAAAACCATTTGAACGTGGTTGTCACCGAGGAAGATGCGGTAAAAGCTAGGCTGTAACATTTTCGATATTTTTTCAAAATTTGTGTAGTGCGTTTTGTAAAATTGTCAAAAAATATACGAAGAGTTTTGTTTTGTGACTGAAAATAATATAAAATAGTTGGTTACGTCGTCCCAACATTCTTTTCACCCCCGCGTAGCCTACATATACCTAAAATCTATTGTTTGAGGGTCTCCCCACAGCTTCTAAAATAATCAGACATTTTCCAGCCTCGAAATGATAGCCAACGTGCTGGCCACGGCGCTCCTTCTGTCAAACAGCAGCATGGCGCCAGTAAAAGACATCGGCCATCGCTGTAACTATCTGGTGACCCACTCGTCAAGCCAGACCCGTCCTAGCATCGCACGTTTTGATTTTGAAAAATTACAGGAGTGTCTTTTACGCGATACACGGCTATGACAACAACACGTTTTAGCATCGAACCATCGACTGCCCCTACACGAACTATTGCATAAAGTTTGCCTCTTCGGTAAGTCTTTGTCGAATTTTTGGTCGAGACTAATTCATGACTAAAAATAAATCTTTATTGAATTTATGCTGTTAAGATTTTTTTGACGTTTTGACAATGACTGGAGACAACTCTTTTATTTTTAGTAGCTCGTCTTCTGGAGTTGCCCGGTCGCTAACAGCGTCTGCGTAAGTCGCAAGGCTCCACAAATCCATGACGGTTGTCCATTAATTTAGTCAAAGTCGGAATTCAAAGTAACGACCTTCGACCCGGAAGATCCGAGTTACACCGCTACCGGAACGGCCTATTGCTGCACCGGGAATCTTTGCAATTGTGCCGGACAAAAGATGACGATTTTTACGCTCTTATTTGTTGCGGTATCACGTTGGATGTTTTAATAAATATTAAAGCTTTTGAGAGGAATTAGACAATTGGGCCGAAACATGCTTGCGGGTCTCACGCGAAAATGGGTTTTTTTATCCTGAATTTTCACAGCTCCCTTTGAATTTAATTTTGATGGTTTAAAGCATTACTATTCAGCTCAGAACAGACATTTTGGCACACTTTACAGCCCTACTATTAGATGTCAATCGAAAGCCAGAAAACAAAAATCAAAGAAAGCCCAGGCGCTACGGTCGCATTTTGACATTTACAATCGTAAAATTAGCATAACGATCATGGTAGCATCGCAACTAACTAACCTCCACTCGCCGCTTTTTCTTCGCAGAAGCCGGTCGTATAGGTAATTTTTCAGACCCAAATTCAAAGTTTTCGATTCGAATCAGTGATGTACACCAGTCAGCCGGGGATGAACCCGGTCCCGGGCCCGGCCCCGCAGAGCCAAGCCTCGCAACGCGGCCCCGGTTCGCAGAACCCAAGGCAGCCAAGTGGGTCGTTGGTGTATTTTTGGGCTCTTAAAGTTGAGGTATATATATACTTAACTATTATTTGCAGTTTCGTTGCATTTGCACTATTTTCGCATTTTAGTGCTCATGCAAGCGCCACAGGCCCCGGTGGGCTGCCCTCCTGGCCTCGAATACCTCACCATCCTCGACCGGGTTGTTGTCGAGCATGTATACTGTAAATTTAAAAAATTACTGTAACGATTACGGCATTTAGCTATATAGATCATTTCTGATATAAAGGACAACCATGAAGTATCGCATCTTTATTTTCAGAAAATCGAGGTGTTCGAGGTGATGACGAACTGGGAGACGGCCAACCGCTACGCCATCCACAACGCCAATTGGCAACAGGTAAGGCCTGAAATTTTGTGTATGTCATTGAGTACGTTACACACCTCCTTACACCCAATTCCAGGCCTACATGGCGTTCGAGGAGGACAAGATGAGCTGCGCCAGGCAGTGCTGCCCGAACAAGCGCGGCTACGTGATGCACGTCGTTGACAATTATGGAAGGGTGGGTGGAGAGAGATTTAGATAGAGAGAGAGAGCGTGGGATAGAGAGAGAGCACAAGATATGCAGATTTTCACCTTTAGGAAGTGATGCGTATCACCCGTCCCTTCAAATGTTGCGCCGACATGTACTGGGGGAATGAGACGACCGTCGAGGCGCCGCCCGGAAATGTGGTATATTTCATTTTTTAAGGGCAATTATAACGTATCATAGGTATCAATAATCCGTCATCAGCTCATTTCCAGATTGGACGGGTCGTGGAGGACATGGTTCCCTCGGTTGCTGCTCGCACAAATTTTCACTGCATATGGATGGGCAGCAGGCGCTGAAGTGGGAGTTTTGCCTTGAGTGGTCCTTTAAAACGTGGATTTTAGAATCGACGGCCCGCTGGACTGCTGCTGTTGCCGGATTTGCAATGCTTGCGGTGATCAGGTCTTCGAGGTAGTTGTTTAGGGTATCAACATGCAGCAATACATCTCTAAAATTCGTTAAAACAAGTAGTTTTTCCAGATCAAGACGATGCAGGGCGAAAAGATTGGCGACATCCGGAAGAAGTGGACCGGTTTCGCGCAGGAGTACTTCACCGACGCCGACACGTTCACCTGCGATTGTGCGTAGTTTTTGTTAGTGTTAGGCTTAGGCTTAGGCTTATGATAGGGTTTTTGCTCAAAGCCTAGGCTTAGATTTAGGCTTAAATTTAACAGGCTTGGCTTAGGTTTAGGCATGTATTAAATTTTTTAATTGTTGGTTTTTAGTCCCCGTCGACCTGGACGTGCGCATGAAGGCCACCATCCTCGCGGCTACTTTCCTAGTGGTAGAAAATCCATTTTTCGCTTCCTGAAATTCTGTTTTTTTTTTAGGACTTCATGTTCTTCGAGGACAACAATTGATGTGACCTCGTGCCGTGCCCCACCAACCATTAATATTACAAGAAGCTCTTCCCCGGCAATTCGTCAAATGTTAATGACAAGCAACGTGTATTTATTCGCAGTCCGTTTTGTACTCGCTGAATAAAGGGTTTGATTGGGAAGAAGAAAGAGAGAAGGAGGGAGAGCGATAGAGAGAGAGGGAGCGAGAGAGAGGGAGCGAGGGAGAGATTCGTTTGGATGTCAAATCGTGTGAATTTCTAAATTCTGAAGCCATTCCTGGGATTCTAGGCCGATTTCCATCATTTGTTTTTAAAAGTTTTGCCTTTTATCCCAAAACTTTCTATTGTAACTTTCCAGCTCCTCTAAAATGACCAAAAAAACAACAGAAACCATTACATGCATCGTTCCGTCGCAATACCTAGTCAGATCTCGTCCAGTATTGTAGAGTAACAGCTAGACAAACTAACTTTGAGGTTGATTGTCGTTTGGATGTCCGCAGTCGCAGAAGCAAGTTTGGAGGCAGCTATATAAATACTCCCACCCAGCGAACAGTCTTTTTTTGGGGATCGAGTGACGAGAGATCAGCCTCAAACGAATTGTATAAATAAGGGTAGACTCCGTTCAGAAGTATCAATTCCTGGCTTCCTCCGGATTCGAAGATGGAGACCGCCGTCATCTGCCTCTTGGCTCTCCTGGCGGTGGCGTTGTCGGTGTTCAATGCGTATCTACCAGTACCGGCTCCCTGTTAGCGGGGGATCCCATTTTTTTCCAAGGCCCCGATTTTTCCAACATTAATAGGTAAAGCATTTCTGCGCTGTTTTTTTTTACTACTACAGGTAACAGGTGGAGAAATTCTTATTGGAAAAACACAAAAAATCTGTTTTTTCGGGCGAAATATCGCCAAAAATTTGTGTCTGTGTTTTTTTGATTATTTTCCACTTAGATCGAATTGAATTTTACTCTGAGCACTATTAAAATACTTACTTTATTAACGATTACTAGACTTACAAAACATTTCCTGCGACAAAGACATTTTTACCTTTCTAGTACCTAACTAAACGACGTAAAAAGTGACGTATTAGCGCCTCCCAAGCCACCGCTCCACCGCCGGCACCGACTGGTACGTACTATTACAGCTTCAGACGTTTGAAACACAATATATCAAATTATTCCCCTTTTTTCCAGAAAACCCAGCACCGGTGCAAGGAGCTTCAAATCCGCCTCCGGTTGTTGGACAATCGAACCCGCCTCCGGTTCAGGGAGTTTCCAACCCGCCTCCCGTTCAAGGAGCCTCAAACCATCCCCTGGTCCAAGGAGCTTCAAACCCCCTCCGGTTGCTGGGCAGTCGAACCCTCCTCCGGTTCAGGGAGCCTCTAACCCTCCTCCGGTTCGGGGAGCTTCCAACCCTCCCCCAGTTGCCCGACAGCCCAACCCTTCCCCGGTCGCTCACTAAATGACGCATGATTGGAATAAATGGATTTATATAAGTGTAAAATGCAAGGCAAACCGTAAATACACCTCAATCTCAAGCAAAACCTTGTCAGCCTCCACCTAGTTTCTATCAGACTTCAATCAGAATTGCTAATAAGGTAGCAAGCAGCCTAAAAAGGTAGCGAAAACCGATGTAGTTGTTCAAAATTGGTCCATATCATATGTCTTATCTTTCTTTTCTCATATCAAACAGTATGTCTTATCTTTGGTATTTCCGTATCGGTATTTTCACTCGATTTTTTCCAACGTTTTTTAGCCTTGTCTCGTGATTTCCATAAAACGTCCTTTATCGATAAAACCCAATTCACGGATCCCAATAACTATCACAAGATGATGTAGTAAGAAAACAGAAGAAAGAACGGAATTAGCAGCCACCGCATCCGCCTCCGCCTCCACCGCAGCCGCCGCCGCCTCTCCGCAGCCTCCTCCTCCTCCCCATCCACCTCCGCCTCCACATCCTCCGCCTCCAGCTCCACAGCCGCCTCCGCATCCTCCTCCGCATCCTCCGCCTCCTCCTCCACATCCACATCCTCCGCCTCCACTCCCACAGCCGCCTCCGCATCCTCCGCCTCCTCCTCCACATCCACCGCCTCCTCCTCCGCAGCCTCCACCGCACCCTCCGCCTCCTCCTCCGCACCCGCCGCCTAAAAAGTGCAATCTTCGCATTTGAATACACGATGCAACCGCCACGTTGGCAATTCGGCATTTTCGCGCCTGACTCATACTCAACTCATACCTACTCCTCCACATCCGCCTCCTCCTCCGCAAGATGGGGCCGGAGCCGCGCAGGGTGGTGGGCAAGGTGGTGGGCAACAGCATGGTGGGGGTGGGCAAGGCGGGGGGCAGCAGCCTCCACCTCCACCTCCACCTCCGCAACCTCCGCCTCCTCCGCCGCATCCACCTCCACAGCCGCCACCACCGCCGCCACCTCCGAAGAGGAACCGCTTGGCGCGGAGGTGAACTTCGTTGGACCCGACGGCCGGCATGGGCTCGAGGAAGGCGAGGGCCGGGATGGTCAATAGGGCCAACGTTAAGATGACGTGCCTCATCCTGGAAGTGCCTGGGTGGGAGATATAAAGAGATAGAGGAGAGGGGTGGGAAGGAGCGAGAGAGAGGAGAGAAAGAGAGAGAGGGAGAGAGAGAGAGAGGGAGAGAGAGAGAGAGAGAGAGAGAGGGAGGGAGAGACGGAATGCTAGGCGGAACGACAGGACAGGAATTTGGGCAATTTTTTGGGCACAGGAATGTTTAAAGCGCACGTCCAGGAGTCGTACCCACACCCTTATGGGAACGGGTCTCTACGTCAATAGTTGCATAGTATTGATTAAGTTTAAAGTTTGAGCAACGTTAAAAAAATAAAAATAATCCTTAGAATTTTGGTTCAGCTTCTAATTTTGAGAGTTTTCCATGGAAAAACATTTACAAATACTTTACCGATTTACAAATTTTTGAGTAAACTGAGTAAACCCAGAGCTCGGAAGCTCCTAATTTCTAGAGTTTTACATTGAAAAACATTTACAAACACCTAACCGATCTAGCTGAAATTTTGAGGCAATCAAATGGCGTTTTTTCGGGGGCAAAGCAACGTTTTCCAAAACAATACTTTAAACGAACGGAAAGTGACCGTTACCAATTGAGAAAACGCATGGATACCGTAACCATCAAACAGCACAAACGGCAACTGGTCTCAGCCCCGTTTTTTCCTGTATAAATACCCTGGGGGCAGGGTGCGTGTGGATAGATAACGGGCGGAACTGGCAGTTCTGCCATAGAGCCCCCTTCCTCGTTTTCCGGGAGTCGAGTAGAGCGGGTTGTTTGTCTGTCCGTCGCCATGTGCTTCTGTCACTTTTGGAAAGGCAGCTACTACGCAGGCCGCGGGGAACACTTTGACCGTCATCACTTAAGGAAAATAGCTAATAGGATTAAAGGGAAGGGTCGTGGATTGTTTTCAAGAACGGTTGGAAGGGAAACGAGTTTAGCGTGACCGTATCGGGAACATTAGGTCGTGGCATTAATGCTGACCGAGCCGAGATTCGCGTCGAATTATGAGTCCGACAAATGATGTCTTTTGCTACTCTCCTCTCTCTCTCTCTCTCTCTCTCTGTTTCTCTCTCTCGCTTTTTCTTTGTCTCTCTCCGCCTTTTTATCTAAGCATGTTGATCCAACTCAACGCTTCAATCAACCGATATTTATTAAAAACTATACACTCTGTATAAGCTGCTTTATCACTTTCGATTTTCTCAAATGTTTTTGTACACCCCCTCGTAGCTCGGAGGAATATCAGCATTGACTCCTGAGGATTGCCGACCCTGCCGAGGCTCGAGAAATCTCGATCCAGAAGCTGGGCGATTTCTTATTTCGGCAGGAGGCTGTTCGATGCGACTCTGCCCTCCAATACGCCCCTCCAACCAAAACGTCTCCATCACGCCCTTGCCCTAGAAAGAATTATGTTTTTTTTTCTTGAATTTGCAAATATGTGAGGTGGAAGAACGCCTATTTTTGCATGTGATAGGTCACCTTAATCATCACTTCTCCCCTCGGTTCCATCTCATAACCACCGATTCGGCTCAATAAAGCTGCCGCATCGGACGACATATGGATTTTTCCGGCTAAAATATGGTAGAGTACGTAGTGAAACCGCTTACGCTTTCCATTACTTTCCATTCGAGAAGCTGTATTGACCGTGTCACCAAAGAGACAATACCTAAAAGCGGTTTTCAACTTAACACGATTGAGGGCTTACCTAGGCATTGCCAGCCCAACAACTCCAGCAACACAGGAACCGGAATGCATCCCGATCCTCAGATTGACAGTCTGATTTGGGAGGTGCGGCACTCGAAACATCTTAAAAAAATTGTAATCGCTGGCTTTTTATGGCACAAACCTGGACTTCCCTAAAGAAATCCAGCGACATTTCGGCGATATCTTTCACATGTTGATTGCCATTGCGCTTCGGTAGCCCAGAAACACACAGATAACCGTCGCCAATGGTCTCAACCTGGAAAAGAGTGTATTCGCATTAATGGTCAGCCTCAGGTCCTAGACCTGCAGGTAAGAAACCTGAATAGCGGAAAAGGATACCTTGTAGACCTGGTGTTTTTCGATTACGGTATCAAATGTTGTGTACAGCTCATTGAGGAGGGTGACGATCTAGAAAACATTTTCGTTTAGCTTTCTGCCTTACTCTCTCTCTCTCTCTCTCTCTCCCTCTCTCTCTCTCGCTCGCTCTCCCTCCCTCTCTCTCTCTCTTACCCTACCTGCAATGGAGTACACTTCGCCGCCAAGCTCGTAAACTGCACAACATCGGAGAAGAATATCGTCACCACATCGAATGATTCCGGCTCAACCGACTGCCCAAGTTTTAGCTTATCTGCTACTTGTCTTAAACAATTAAATCAGCACACCCAGAAACCTAGTTGTACCTTGGTAGCATTCTATAAAGCAGCAAGTCACTTTTCTTCTTCTCCTCCACCAGCTCGGCCATCCGGTTTTCAACCTAGAAAATTGGTGATTTTTATTGGACAAAATTC